GCTAAGTATTCACCTTTTTTCTACACCTATCTTTCTCTCTTGCCCTCTTAGCGCTGCTCTTTCTGTGTTTCTTTCTTTTGTTTCTAAGGCTTTTTAGGTGCCTATTCAGGTCGTTCCCACGAGCGCCGCAAAGCGGCACCGTGTGTGTGTGCGTGTGTCAACCCCTGTACCTAAGGGTTCCGATGTTTCGAAGCAGGGGCGTGTGGGCTTCTTGTCCTACCACACGCAACGAAGCTGTGGACAAGAAGGGGAAGCAGGGACTGATCATCCCTGTGTACCTGCTGAACTTTTGAACAAGCTGTCCAATTTTCCTTTTTGTTTTCATGGTGGTTCATGATACCTTCCCCCAAACCTTTTGCCGCTTTCTCATGCAGCTGAGTCGCGCTGACGTTCGCCACCGCAGACATGTCAACAGTTTGTTCAAACAATACAAGTGCGCTGACCTTTTCACCTTGCGTTTCCCTCACCTTCCTTCTCAACGTGGGAATTGAGTTAACAGCAAACCAATGTCAGAGTGTCTATGTGTGTATCTATGTCCGTGTGTGTGTAACCCTTGGAATCATAGGGATCCTTTTGGATGTTGTTTCACTGCAGGGGAACTGGGCACTCTGTGACTGACCCAGTTCAACGAAGCTAGGTCACAGAGTGGGATATTCGGACTGATCATCCGAACGTACCTGCAATTTTCCACTTTGCGTATGGCAAGAGGCTAAGCCAAGAACCTCGATGCTCTGATGTTTTGTTGTTTTTTCTTTGCACTGCAGATGCGAGCGGAACGTCGTCAGCCTGTTCGTCCGCCGTTCGTTTTTTTGCTTTTGGGCCCTACTTCCTCTTGAAGACCCCCAGGATCCCGTGGTTCGTACATGTACTCTTAGGAAATGGAACCCTAGGCCGGCGTGTGGCACCGCTTTCAGTTCAGTACACCCTATCCTAAGTGTGTTTGGCCTCGTGCCAACCCGAGATGAGCCCGCAGAGTGCCTCCCGTGGACCCGTCGAACAGGTGTACGTCGTTATCTCCCCTGCCCGGAGATGTACGTGTCCGCAGCGGACAGTAGCTGGCTCATGCCACCAGAACTCCAACATCTTAGGAATTCCAAGCTGGCTTATGCCTTTACGTGACCGTAGCAGTCAAAGGTGGCAGCCCCTGGGCAAGCCGTACGTGGTCGCAGCGACCGAAGTCTGTTCAAGGTTCATTGGAACCTGTTGCGAGCTTAGTCCCCCTGCTTCCCCTTCCCTCCCCTTTCTTTCCTTGCTTTTTGGGGTTTTCCTGAATGGAAGACTCAGGATCACCCCTTTCTTTCTTTGGTGTGTCCCTGGACGATTGTTCGTAGCTGGGAACACCTGCCTTTTCCTTTTTTCTCCTCTCCCTTTCTCTCCCTTTCTTTCTTTCTTTCTCTCTTTCCTCTCCACCTTCCTTCCTCGTTGGGTGTCCCTGGATGCTTTTGTCATAGCTGGGAACCCTTCTCCGCTCTTCTTTTGGTGTGTCCTTGGACGCTTGCGTCGTAGCTGGGAACACCTTCCTTCCTCCTCTTTCCTTTTTCTCGTCTCTCCCTACCCCTCCCTCCTGTCGGGACCTTAGCTTGGGTTGCTACTACGGGCTCCTGGCCTTCCTACTAGGTGCTAGGTCGCTACCTTGACGCTACTAGAGGTTCCTGGCCTTGCTACTACTTTATCCGCACCTTTTGGCGCGGAGCTTAAAACATGCCTCCCTTCGGGGAGGCGTGTGTGTGTAACCCTTGGAATCATAGGGATCCTTTTGCAGGCGAACTGGGCACTCTGTGACTGACCCAGTTCAACGAAGCTAGGTCACGGAGTGGGATATTCGGACTGATCATCCGAACGTACCTGCAATTTTCCACTTTCCGTATGGCAAGAGGCTAAGCCAAGAACCTCGATGCTCTGATGTTTTGTGTTTTTTCTTTGCACTGCAGATGCGAGCGGAACGTCGTCAGCCTGTTCGTCCGCCGTTCGTTCTTTTTTGCTTTTGGGCCCTACTTCCTCTTGAAGACCCCCAGGATCCCGTGGTTCGTGCGTGTACTCTTAGGAAATGGAACCCTAGGCCGGCGTGTGGCACCGCTTTCACCCTATCCTAAGTGTGTGTACAGCGGTGAGGGGGTGTAGACGTCGATCAAATGAAACGGCAGCGCAGTGTTGTGGCTCAGGAGCGCCAACCTTGGTGCATTTCTCGCTGTGTCAGCACAACGCTGAAGAGGTCCGCCACATACTAGAAGCAAACGTATCACATAATACCACCAACCATCCCTCTCACCAGCGACACACCGTCTTGTAGGACACTCTTGTGGGTCACTCTTGTAGGAAGCTCTTGCGGGGCACTCTTTTGGGACACTCTTGATGCCACAATGATCCCGCTCACCAGCGACACGCCGCGCTTACGCCAGCATGTTTCGCGCTCCCCAGTGGCACGGCGCCATGCAAACGCACTTCCCACCAAGGCCGCGCAGATCCCCATGGCACTGCGACATCATGTGACACGCCGCGCTTACGCCAGCATGTTTCGCGCTCCCCACTGGCACGGCGCCACGCAAACGCACTTCCCACCAAGGCCGCGCAAATCCCAGTGGCACTGCGACATCACGAACGTACCTTGTCCACACGGTCTATCCACACACTAGAAGCAAACATATCACACGCGCGCTTCGTCCGAGACTTCCTCCAAAAGTCAAGCGGCAAGTCTCCAAAACGAGCGCTTCGTACGAGACTTCCTCCAAAAGTGAAGCGGCAAGTCTCCAAAACGCACTCTCGCCTGCATTTCGCACCCTCGACACGCACGATCTCGGCAAAGGGTTGCGCCGGAACCGGACAAATGGCACTCTGGGCATGGGCCAAATCGCACTCTCGCCTGCATTTCGCGAAATCGACACGCACGATCTCCGCAGAGGGTTGCATTTTCGGTTGACGCTGTTCGTCCCACCCTCCGCTACACTTGCATGCTTACACTTGGATGAGTGCCATTGTAAGTATAGAAGTGTAAGTGTTCAAGTGATTTTCCGGAAGAACCCTTCGCAATGCTTTCGGGAAGAAACATCTAAAAGGTCACTGCAACCATGTAACGTTGCGTTTTCTTGATAGACACTGACACTAGACTTTTCTGGATGGTAAGGCACCTTGGGTAGAAAAACTCCTATTTCTCAGGCCTGGTACTTCACGAACCCACCTGTGTACCTGGGGAATGTTCCAAGTACACTGTGTACCCGATGGGCTCCAACCTACTAGCGATTGCCTCCAACATGTTTTCACCATCGGATACTCTCATCACCTCTTTCGCTGTGTCAAAACTGCTTGGCCCAGCAGCCAATCGCGCCCTCTCGTTCTCGTGAATGGTGGAGAAGACTGCTTCCTCTGCTAGCACGGCGCTGATGCCATGAATGAGATTGTCTTCACTCCACTTAGGCCCGGTGCCTCCAACCTAATAGCAAAATGAACCTGGTAGCGATGGCCTCCAACCTACTAGGGATGGCCTCCAACCACATGATCTCTTGCAAACCAAATCACTTTGGTGGAAAACAATAGCCCCCGTCATTCTCTGGACTTCATGCTCCAAGTGTCGGCACATCCGTCCATGGTGGTCTCCCACGTGAAACCCACCAAAATGCTCAAGCCAGTCACGACATTTTTCACCTCAGCTTGGGAGACGTGCTTAGCGGAGCGACTCCATTGTCATCGCAGTGTCGCTCTCCATTGTTACTAGTAGGGTCTTGTTGCTAGTGGTAAGGCCAGGAGCTACTAGTAGCGTCCTTGCTACTACCCCTTCCTGCCAGACATTTCTTTCAGACCTTTAGACCTTTCTTTCGTTCCAACTAGTAGCCTCCTCTACTAATGTTAATTTGATTCTAATTAAATTCTAATTTATAGATTGTTTCTACTAGCTTCTTGTTCCTAGTAGCAAGCTTCTTTCGTTCCATCAACTCAAGTCATCTCCCTTGCTCTCGGAGCCCCTGGCAATCTTGTGGGTGACACGCCGGTCTTCGTTGCTGGCAGCATCCTCGATCTGGTCGAGGACAATGATCACCGCAACTCAGGTGCGTCCGTTCAAGATGTTTTCCTACATGGAATGGTCTCCAAACTAGTAGGAAAAGGTGCCTAATAGAGATGGCCTCCAACCTACCAGCAATGGCCTCCAAAGACCTTTTGCACTTCATGTCCGAAACCTTCTTGTGACCAAACACCTTGTAAAAGAGCACCCCGGTGTAAGTAGCTGTCAAGCCAGTCTGGGCTTTTGGAAAAAACTGGACCTGCTTACACAACAATGTGCATAACATGAAAGTAATACTATATGATAATTGATATAATATACTGTAACATAATTTAATATAATACAACATAGTATAATATGTGCATTGTATGATTTGTTTCTCTTTTTTGTACATAATATGAAAGTTGAATCTTCTTCTTCTTCTTGTTCTACGAGGACAATCTCATAGTTGAATCGTCAGGGAATGCAAAAGTGGTGCCCTTAGATTCGATTGCTCTGAGTTCCCCCGCAGGCAAAGCTTGAGAGGAAAAGGGAGAGAATCAATCGACCTACAACGTGGTTCAGGGCCTTTAGACCTCTCTTGCCTTGTCCCTGTCTTTTCTTGTCGTCAACGGCACTTCTTTCTTTCCTGCCTTCTTTTCTACCTTATTCAACAGCGTGTTCATCTTTTTTGAACAGGTCGACTGTACCTGGGATGCTCTTGGGAGGGCAATTCAACTTCACCAGCAAAGGCCAGGACCTTGGTAGAGCTGCCCGACCAGGTAGGAACATGTATTACGCCCAGACTCTGTCCCCTGTGAAGCTCTTAGGAAGCTCAGAAAATACATGAATGGACTACGGCCATCCTTAGTAGGTTGGAGGCCATCGCTACTCGGTTTGAGGCCATATTTGGTTGGAGG